GAAGGAGGTCGCCATGCTCCTCTCAATCAAGCACATCAAGGAGGTGAAATACCCCTCATGGCTAGCAAATGTGGTCCTCGCCCAGAAGCCCCCTACCTTCCGCATGTGCGTGGACTACACCGATCTCAACAAAGCATGCCCCATGGATCCATTCCCTCTACCAAACATTGATCAATTGGTGGATGAGACCGCGGGGTGTGAAATCATGTCCTTCCTCGATGCCTTCCGAGGGTACCATCAAATATTCATGCACGAGGAGGACGCCGAAAAAACTGCCTTCATGACTCCCGAGGGCATCTTCTGCTACCTAGTGATGGCCTTCGGCCTAAAGAACTCGGGGGCCACTTACACTCGGATGGTGGCCCGGGTCTTTCAAGCCGTCCTAGGGCGCACCATGGAGGCTTATGTCGACGACATGATCGTCAAGAGCAAGCAATCTTCCAACCATGCTGACGACCTCCGGGAAATCTTCGCCATCATGCAAAAATTCAACCTTCGGCTAAACCCAAAGAAGTGCACCTTCGGCGTCCAAGGGGGCAAATTCTTAGGCTACATGGTGAGCCGAAGGGGTATTGAGGCCAATCCCGAGAAAATCCAGGCCATCATCAATATGGAGCCCCCACGCAATGTGAAGGAAGTTCAACGATTGACGGGCCGCCTGGCAGCCCTCAACCGCTTCCTATCTAAATCGGCGGAAAAATCTCTACCCTTCTTCCAGATCATGAGGAAGACGGCTGGCTTTCTATGGACTCCAGAATGCCAGGGGGCTTTCGACGAGCTCAAAAGATATCTATCTTCACCTCCTGTGCTCTCCAAACCCAAAGTAGGGGAGACCCTCTACCTCTACCTTGGGGTTAGCCCGGCGGCCATCAGCTCTGTGCTCATCCGGGAGGAAGACGGCATCCAACATGCCATCTTCTATGTTAGCAAGACCCTAAGGGAGGCCGAGCTCAGGTACTCCCCTGTGGAAAAAACGGTGTTAGCCATCGTTTGGACTGTCAAGAAGTTGGGCCACTACTTTCAGGCTCACCCGGTTCAGGTCCTCACCCATCAACCCCTCGGCGCCCTCATGAGGAGCCCCACCAGCTCCTCCCGCATGGTGAAATGGGCTATCTTTTGAGCCAGTACAACATTGACATCCGTCCAAGGCCTGCCATCAAGGGCCAAGCCCTGGCGGACTTTGTGACGGAATGTACCGCAAGAGCAGCTACGGACGGGGAGCCCTCGGCTACCTCGGACGACTGGTGGACCCTCTACACTGACGGCTTATCCGCGACCAAAGCATGCGGGGGAGGGGTAGTCCTCATTACTCCCGAGGGCTTCAGGGCCTACTATGCAATCCGCTTCTCCTTCAAAGTCTCCAACAATGAGGCCGAATATGAAGCCCTCCTATGTGGCCTTCGGCTGGCTGCCAACATGAGGGCTCGGCAGATCCACATCAAATGCGACTCCAAGTTGGTCGTTGGCCAAATCTCCGAAGAATATGAGGCCAAGGAAGGAAGAATGAAACAGTACAAGGAAGCGGTCAAGGAGTTGCTTAAGGTATTTGAGGCACACTCTCTCACTCAAATACCGAGGGCTCAGAACTCCGAGGCCGACATATTATCTAAACTTTCGGCAGACTCCCCCGAGCACATCTCCAAGATTGCCAAAATCGAGGAACTCAGCCTCTCAAGCATCCATGCAAGCCCCGTGATAAACATACAACAACGTCAGGAGGATTGGATTTCAGATATCACCGCCTTCATCTCCACAGGGCAGCTACCCGAGAATGAGGCCCGCGCTAAACTGGCAAAGCTGAGGGCTCCCAGCTACACCATCGAAGATGGAAGGCTCTACAAACGATCTTACAATGGCACGCTACTTCGGTGCCTTCATCCAGATGAAGACGAGGTCGCAATGGAGGAAGTGCACAGTGGCACTTGCTCAGCTCACCAGGGACCCTTCTCCATGTCCCGAAGGCTCATTCTCCAGGGCTACTTCTGGCCAACCATGGCCAGGGATTGTGCTGACCTTGCCCGGAGGTGCACCGCATGTCAACATTTCCAGAAAGCCCCCGGCAGACCAGCGGTCAACTATGCCCCCATCAGCACATCTGTCCCATTTTCTCGATGGGGGATAGACCTTGTGGGCCCTCTGCCGAGGGGTACCTCCAACAACAGATACATCATTGTGGCCGTCGACTATTTTACCAAGTGGGTGGAGGCTGAACCCCTCGCCAGCATCACAGAGGCGAGGTGCCGTCACTTCGTCCTCAAGAACATCCTCACAAGGTTTGGCGTCCCCCAGCAGATCATCTCCGACAATGGAACACAATTTGAGGCAGCCCCCTTATGTGCCCTTCTGGAGGCATGGGGCATCAAACACACCTTCTCCTCCGTTGCCTACCCTCAAGGCAACGGGCAGGTAGAGAACGCCAACCGGACCTTGCTCGAGGGCCTCAAAAAGAAGCTGGAGGCCGAGGGTGGTGGCTGGGTGGAAGAACTTCACAACATCCTCTGGGCCTACCGCACTACCCCTCGGCGCGCTACAGGTGAAACACCCTTCTCCCTCTGCTACGGTTTTGAAGCCAAAGCTCTTACGGAAGTCACCCTTCCTACCCGAAGGGTGATCCAATATGACCCCGAGGTCAACGACAGCAACATGGCCCTCAACCTGCACCTCATTTCAGAACGCCGGGAGCAGGCCTTCATCCGGGCAGAAAACTACCGAAGGCAAGTTAAAAGCTACATCGACGCCAAAGTTCGAACCCGGGAATTTCAAGTGGGGGACTATGTCCTCCGGAGGAGGGAAGCCAGCCAACCAACCGAGGGAGGAAAAATGGAACCAAAATTCGAAGGCCCCTACATCATAGCAGCCATCATCAAACCCGGGACTTACAAACTCAAACGCCCCAACGGGAAAGAGGCCCCTAGGCACTGGAATGTACACCATTTAGTTAAATTTTATCAATAATGTAAAAGCGGCCAAGCCCTCATAACTAGTGAATGTACTATCCAATGGCCCAAGGCCTCCAATTTCGAAGAATGAAGATACATTCAAGACATCAAGCCCTCATACTGACTACAGGCCCCAGACCTCACCACAAGAAGAACCCCCTCCGGTACCCAGTGCCGAGGGCGGACACCATCAACATCTACAACAAACAGTAGAAACACCACGTGTTTTCAGTCAAGACCCCTCGACACCTAGTGCCGAAAGGTACTTCCCCACCTTTAACATCAAAAAAGAAAACATTAGAACACCAAGTGTTCCGACAGAAGACCCTTCGGCACCCAGTGCCGAGGGTACACCTCCCTCATCAAATATCGAAACGAAGAAAAAACACCAAGTGTTTCAACGAAGACCCCTCGGCACCCAGTGCCAGGGATATGCTCTCCTAACAGCTTCCAAACATCTATTGGGAAACATCAAGTGTTTCATTTGGAGACCCTTCGGTACCAAGTACCGAGGGTAGACGCCTACATCAACTACAACAAGAGAACACCAAGTGTTCCTACAGAAGACCCCTCGGTACCAAGTACCGGGGGCTACACACCGAAACTAACACCAAGTGTTGTTTCTAAAAGCCGTACCCCACGAGGACGCATATACCGAAGGCGCCACCATCGGTGCCGGCGGCACGTAGTGCCCCCGGCCATTTGCAACTAGTGTGCAAATGAAAACCCTTCCTTGAAACGCTTTCCGCGTCACTACCCCCAGGGTATGACAGGCATGAGAAATGCCCAGGATTCGACTTTCAAAAACGGAACGCTATCCGCGTCATTACCCCCAGGGTATGACATGCATGAGAAATGCCCAGGATTCGACTTCCAAACCGAAACGCTCCCCGCGCCAACACCCCAAGGGTGTGGCAGGCCACAGACTATGTCTAGCGCCGAGGGGACGACTTTCAAAAATGAGGCGCTTTCCGCGCCATCCCCCAAGGGGAGGCAGGTTACGGACCACCATATCTTGTGCCCAGGAAACGTCCCTCGATCCCCTCGGCACTCGGAAGGTTAACCCGAGGGAGGAGAGCCATTGGTGTATTCTGATGGTCTCCTAATAGGCCCAGCCTTACCAAGAAACCAAGTTTCTTGATGCCTTCCCTTCACCACCAACCACAAAAAAAAGGGTGAAGGGGAGTAGACTCAGCGAGAAATCGAAGAGTACACTCCAACAATATCACAGCATGCCGAGGGCTCCCCACGGGAACACCTCCGGTAATTGAAGACTCCTATTTCCCGAAGGATACTACTCAAAGAAATATCATCAGGAAACGGCTAAAGTCCACTACCTGGTCACCTCCGGTCACAAAAACATCGAAGGCTTCAACAATACAAAGGGACTGGACTATCCAAGGTCCACTAAACGGTACTTCAAACAAACGCCGAAGGCATCTGTTATGCACAAACACCGAGGGCCCTTTCCCCATAACAAGGGTCAAATCCTACAACTTTTAAAGTGTATGCCGAGGGCACACACTCCTCATTGGCTTTCTTCACAACAACAGGATTCAAAGGCCATGCAATACAACAAAAAAAGTATTCTGTCCTAAATAATTAGCCCCCGGGCATCTGCAAAGTGATGTGTAATCAAGGGGGGATGCCATCTCCCGAAGGCTCCCAAGGGAAAATCCACACTTAGAATATTTTCTGAGTCCTACATGTTTTAGAATTTGGGTTACTGCAATCACCCGAAGGCCATATGGTGTGCTACACTTAGAAAAATTTTCTAAGTCCTAATTGCTGCTGAACCCTCGGTTGCATATCCAGCAGAGGGTGCCAAACTACCGAAGGATCCCAAGGGCTAGCTACAATCAGAAAATATTCTAAGTCCTTGACATACATTCAAAAATACCGAAGGCATACATTCAAGCAGAAAGGAATCGGAAAAACAATTCATATATACAAAGCCCGAAGGCATTCAATCATTCATCACAACAAAGAGTGAATATAGTTATTACAATGATTAGGCCGAAGCCATTACAAAATTGTTCAAATTATAGATACATATCAAATCATGTCATCCCCGGGGGCGGCCTCCCCCGACGGCTTCGAGGAAACTTCTGCATCAGCCTCAGGATCGTCGCCCTCGGCTTCCCTTCGGAGCTCGGAATCCTCCAGGTCTGGCCTCTCGACATCAGGGGGAGGGGGATACGGATATCTGGCTGCAGAGGGGGGAGCCCGTACGCCGCCGGATCAAAGTCCTTCGGCTCAACCTTCAGATGGCGGGCCATCCTCCGGTAGATGAGGGCTTGAGTGAAGAACTCACCCCCATCATAATATTGCTTGCCCTTCCGGGCCATCCACTCCTCCCCCGGGCCCTCGGACCATTCATCAACCGAGGCCTCAACAACCGAAGACAACCATGCCTTGTGCCCCTCGGTCTTCCACCCCCCGTCCAGGAACCCGGAGATAGCCTCCTCCCGGGCTGTGGCGACAGCTTTCGCCTTGATGGCCTCGGCCTCCTCGGCTGCTCTCCTCGCGGCCTCCGCAGCGGCCGCCTCAGCTTCTGCCTTCTCCCCCCTGTGCCTCTCGGACTCCGCCCTCGCCAGCCGGAGGTCCTCCTCAAGCTGGGCCATCAGCTTCGTGGCCTGGGAGTCCCTAAGGATCAGCTCCTTCACCTTGGTTTCTTGCTTAGCTTTGAGGAGGCGCCATTCCTCCAGCCGTCAGAACTGCTCCCCGAGGGCAACGCAAGTCTGCAAAGATAAACGGGTTGTCAGGGCCAAACGTGATTTCTCAATTCAACGGGGGAAACAAAAAGACAAACTACAGTGAACTCACCGTGAGAGAAGACCGGAGGATCCTGTCTTCAAGGGCTTGATCATCATCAGCCCCGAGAGCTGCCCTGTCAATTTCGAGGGTTATACCCTTCAGGAGCGCCCTCGGGTCGACCGTGCCATTCAACACGGCCGTACCAGCCGGAAGGGAGAGCGTGAGGACCTCGAGAGATGGCTCCCGGACCACCCCCGGCACCTGCGCCGTCGGCATCATCGGAGGGTCATCTATAATCACCACCGGGGGGTCATCCTTCGCGGCATCCCCCTTCTTTAACTTTTTAGGGGCTTGGGGGGGCTCCTTTGCCGACGGCTTTCTCTTAGCCGCAGCAGCATCGCCCTCGGGCTTTTTGAGGGGCGCACCGACGGGCTTTTGGCCACCTGCGTCCGGCCCCTTCGGATCCTTGGCCGGTTTGTTCTTGAATCGGGCGAGGCCTTTGACGTTCATCATACTTACTGGAACACCTGCAAAAAAAATATATAAGGGGTTAGTATCGAGGGGTCACTATTAAGGGCATAAAGGATTAACAAAACAAATGGACAAACGTGCTAAGATGAGGGTGAGAATGCCCTCAGCTACTACCTCCGGAGGCTCCCTCAAACACTGGGAACTTCTCATCAGTTTCCCCCAGGAACCGGTACCGCCGGAACCCGAGGGCGTAGAGATCTGCTTCTTTGGTGCAGTCCTTGATGGAGATATTCTTGTCCCGGCCCTCCGGGATCATGGCCAGAATCCTGCCGTCTTTCTCGAGGGCGGCGCTCCTCCTCTTCTCGTGCCTCCTGAAGCGGTCGCGCAGTTCCCTCGGGAAGGGGCTCTCGGCTAGCTTCACATAGCACCACCGGTCCTTCCACCCCTTGTTCGAGGAAGGCGCCTCGGTGAAGAGTTTAAACACAGATACCTGCTGCAGATTAGCGAATCCCTCGGCATTCGCGTGCCCCCCCCCCCCCCCCCCCGGCACAGGTTGAAGCTCTGGAAGAAGAGATCCAGGCTAGGCGTCACCCCCCGGGACTTACAGAGCTGAAGGAAGCCAGTGATATAAGAATGGCTGTTTGGGGTCAGCTGGCAGGGAACCAGGCCAACGAACCGAAGATACTCCCGGAGGAAGGGGTGCAGAGGGAAGCGGAGCCCCATGGATACTGAGAGGACGTGCACCGCAATGCAGCCCTCGGGAGCCCGGGAGAGAACGTCATTCGGACCCGGTGTCACCACGATGGCCGAGGGGCCCACGTGAAGCTGGGTGACATAGATATCCGCCGCATCAACCTTCGACTTGATCTCCATTGCGGCGGTGTTGAGATAGGAGTACCCCTCGGGCATATCGAGGGGTTTCCCTTGATCTGCTACGCTGCCCTTCTTCTTGGGAACAGCGGCCTTGGCCTTCTTCTTTCCGGGGGCCACCCGGAGGGGGACCGCATTCAGCGGCCGAGAGGTACTGGCCTCCCCGGCACCCCGAGGGGGAGCACAGCAACGGTGACCCTCCCGCTTTCCTTTTGTGCCTCCTCTTCAGCTGCTTGCCAGGCGATGGCCAACTCTTCATCTTCACATTCCTGCTCAAAGCCCTCGGCCTCCGCCTCAGCTGCGAGGGCTTTCTGCAACTCCAGGGCAATGACGGCATCCTGTCCCACTGAGGACTCCGCACTTGAGGACTCCACGTCCGAGAGGATTTCGTCCTCCACCGAGGGCGCCCCCGAGATATCTTGAGAATCGCTCTGGGACGACATTCTGACTCTAGTCCGAAGGCTCGTACAACTAGTGATTTCTAAATGTTCTATCTCCTAGCCTAAGGGCGCAGTACAGATAGCTAAGAGGTGAAGGGTAACTGGAGAACTGACCTTAAGAACAGGATTCAACCGGGGGCTGCTGTTTCTCTCTCTAGAAAAATTGGCAGAGCTTCGCTAACAAATTTTTCGCACACGGAGGAATGCCTGGCCTTGGGGTATTTATAGGCGCTGAAATCCGGGCTTGGGCCTGGGTTCCGGGCCTCCGGACGGACGCCATCATTACTCACCGCGTCTTCGCCCAACCGGTGACGCCGCCCACGGACAGCCAGCCAACACACGCCACGTGTGCCCCCCCCCAACGGCTATATCCTGTCGTTACATATTCCAACGACTATATTTCCAACGGCCATATTTTGGAAGCCCCCGGGTTTTTTACTTCACTCCACTTCGTCAAGGATAGCCTCCGGGTGCACTCACCCAGAAGTGCCCCCGGGTTGTGCCCCACACAGCACATTACACACGCCTTCGGGATCACTCCTTCAGATCCCTGGGGCTGCATATCAGGGCACCCCTCGGGGTTTTCCCCTCAGCACTGCAAAACCGGGTAGCCCCCGGGGAGTGCCTCATTGACGGATGGCCCATGGCCCTCGGGTACCTTCATCACCACCTCATCAACAAACAGTGGACCCCCCGGTAACAGCTTCACTGCTGCCCTCATCTGGCAGGCCCTCGATCCCTGGATTGAGGGGCTCCCCTTCGGCGCCACCAGGATATCAACAGCAAGCCTTCGGCTAATCAACACAGGAGCCCTCGGAAGAGAGAGCCTTCGGCATTCCCGCCATTCTCCATTTTTTACCAAGGTATGACATTTTCGATTCATCATTGGGGGAATTCGGTGCACTCTTTTTCCCTCATTAGGATTTTTTCCCTAAGGGTTTTTCCTAATGAGGTTTTTAACGAGGCATCCCCCCAAAATGAAACGAAAAGCGTCAGCCTTCGGCCCACAACAGCAACGCAACTACTCTACTCCTTTTCACCACTTTACAAGTGCCTCAAGGAGTGGGGGACTGGAGGACCCCTTCGGGAAAATCATTAAATTACAAAATCTGTGAAAATCCAACAAACAACAAAGCAACCCCTCAAGTCCCGACATGTGGGTAACTGAGGGACTGCCTTCGGCAGGGACCTAAAAGCAACAAATCCTCACCAAACTTCAGGAATCACGACGGGACAACATCAAAGGGCAAGCGCAAGTTACTCCTTTTCCCTCAAGTACCTTTCGACAAAAGGAGTGAGGGACTCCTGATGGAGTATATGGACCGGGAACCCCCGGCCCACAGACTCCTACTACTCCAGCGAAGGCCCAACAGGCCCAAAAGGCCCAACAGGCCCAAATCACAGCGCCCAGAGTACCGAGCAGCCCGCACTACGCGCCAGGGGTGCCTTCGGCCCCCTGGCCGAAGGCTCCAAATCCTCACAGAACGGGTTTCTCAGGCAAACTGAGAAACTGGGAGAAAACGCCGAAAACAGCAGCCCTCGGCACTTTGAGCCCTCGGCACCAGGGGTGCTATCGGGAGGAAGAGCCCTCGGCTACTGCTCTATAGCCGAAGGCATCTCACTCGACAAGATATCCGCCTCACATGCGTACAGATCACCGTACTCTGCACAGACGTCCCATCCAACAGCCGCATTAAATGCGGCCACATGCGGCTGCCAGCGCCAATCAGTTGAGGTGACCCCTCGGCCAATGAGCGCTTGACACGTGTCCCTGCCCGGCATTTATTGCTGCTATAAATAGCACCCCATTTCCTCATTTGTAACCACGCTGAATACATCATATCGAATATACACTCTCTCTTACTTATTTGCTCTGACTTCTCTCCAGTTATTCTCCGCAATAACCCCTCGGATATATACCCCCGGGTAGACTATCCATCAGAGGTGGTATGCAATTAATAGAGATATTTTTATTCTTAATGTAGCTTGTTTCTTTGATGTGCATGCTAGGCACAATGTCGAATTTTTAAAAGCTAAGGAAGACAAGAAGGCCGGGAAGTGTATCCCAATCGAGGAAGGGCCGAAATCTCCTATGGAAAGTGTGACAAAGGTTGTAGGTTGTACCGAACCTAAGGTGGATCCTACTGGCCGTGTCATCCGAAACATGCATGAGATGAACGAAGGCGATATTGTCACCAGGTTTTTTAGAGATGACAACAACAAGAGATTGGCTTATGTGACGACATTGGAGGAGCTTCCGGAGGATGAAGATTATACCAAGATGGACCTCCATTGCCGAAGTGTGGAATTTGACGAACCGGGTGTATTCTTCACCCAAGCTTGCCTTTTAACACTCCCTGGAATCAAGAAGAATGAGGTTTGGTATGATATTGATAAGAGCATTTTTATTCCTAACGTGCTTAATTTTTTTGATCCAAATAGCGCATGGAACAAAAAATATCTTAAGGAGAAGAAGAGGAGGATTAGAAGAGCTGAGCGTGACAAGGAGAAATTGGAAGCCAAACCCGGGGATGGCTACACCTCGGATTTCTACCTCTCTTGATGTTAAAAGTCCTCTCTTGGAATGTGCGAGGTTTGAATAAAACCTCTAAGCATAAATTTATTGCTAGCTTTGTCAAATCTAATAATATTAATGTGTGTTGTTTTTTGGAAACTAAGTTGAACTCGGCCAACCTTAATAATTACATTTTAAATAATTGGCCGGGGTGGTTGGTTGAAAATAATTTTGATCTAATTGGTGGAGGCCGCATTTTGCTTATTTGGAACCCAAATTTTGTAAGTTGTAATATTTTGGAATCGGGTAAGCAACATTTGCATGCAAAAATTATTTGCCGTATTACGCAAACTTCATTCTTGGCTACTTTTGTGTATCCTCTTTATACTGTTTTGGAGCGTAAATCATTATGGGATCATCTCACTTTGCTAGGTGGTGGTTTTACCAAACCTTGGTTAATTGTGGGAGACTTTAATTGCGTTTGCGCTCCAAACGAGAGGGTGGGGCCTTCCCCTCCCACAGCTTATATGATGCAACATCTTTTGGATTTTAAGGTCTCGAATAGCCTTATGGATGCCCCATCGACCGGTGAATTTTTCACTTGGAATAGGGGTGTCCTATGGGCCAAACTAGACCGAGTACTAATTAATGACATTTGGGGACAAAATGGCTTTTCTTGTAGGGCACAGTTCCATGAAATGGAGGTGGAGTTTGATCATACGGCTTCGGTTACATCATTATTTCACAATATTTCGCCCAAACAAAAGCCATTTAAATTCTTCAATATGTGGATAAAACACCATGATTTTGCTAACATTGTAGCGCAGGTGTGGAACCAAAGAGTAGAGGGCACAACCCAATACTCGATTGTAAGGAAATTAAAATTGTTGAAGGGCCCATTGAAGAAGCTAAATGAGAAAGAATTTGGCCACATCTCAAACAAGGTGAAGGAAGCAAAAAATGAATTCAAGAGGATCAACAAACTAGTGCTCCAAAATCCACTTGATGAGGACCTCCAATGCCAATTGAAACAAGCAAGGAAATGAGCCACCTTCCTTAGTGAAGCGGAAACTAGTTTCTATCAACAAAAGGCAAAAGCTACTCACATTTTGGAGGCGGACAAAGGCACTAGATATTTCCACGCCATCGTGAAAAGAAATGCATCAAGAAATGCAATCTCTTCTATCTCTTTGGAAGATGGCTCACTCACCACGTCTCTTGACCAAGTGGG